TGACTTTGAAGTAGGTATTCCTGATTTTTTGAACAAAATATGTTTTAGTATTTTGTTAAAACTAACAAAAAATATCCACATTAAACACATTGCAAATCACAATGCTGCAGTTTATATCTATTAAAATCTGGCTTGGAAATGATGGAGGGGAGTAGTAATTGCAGCAATAGTCGCAGCCTAACAATCCGGTTCAACTTGTGATGCGGCCCAAATGTTTGCACTTGGGGATGCAGATGTCTACGCAACTTTAAAATGGGCTAAGTTGAAAGGGAAGAGAGCTATTCGGTCTTTTGCTACACTATTTTAGAGAAAGTGGGGATAAAGTGCCCTCTCTACTTCCCTACTGACGTTGCAGAAGAAGAGGATCCTACAAATTGGGCAGACGACACAGTTACAGCCACGAGGAGGAAAGGGAAGAGTCCTTTGCCTGACTTTATGCTTCGTCGAACACAAGGTTGATTTGTCCTTGCCTTAAACTCGGCCATCTAGGGGATGGGATGAAGAGGCAAGAATCAGCCTTCGCCTAAGCCCCAGATACTAAAGCTTCCTTGCCTTAGGCAAAATATTAAACAATAACACAAGGCAGATGGTGCAGATTTTCCTAGGTTTTTTTTTTTCATTCCAAAACAATTTTTTCGCGCAGCTGCTTTTCTCTGCAATTTGTGGACGAGAGTATAGGTCGACTGGAAAATCAAAAATACACCTTTTCAAACTACTCCATCTATTCATAAGACGGCTCTAAGGAAGGGAAGTTCGCCTCAAGTCACTTAACGAGCATAGGAGACGATCATGACCCTCTTTTTAGGTACGACAGACACAAAAACTCCTCGTCCATCTCCCCTTCAGCCACTTGTAATGGCCAGGACCTTCCTGCATTGTTTTATTTCCCAACTGAGGGCAAAACTAAAACCCTGCTTTAAGGTATGAGGAATCAGCTCCCGCCGTAGCCCACCTTTTTTTAGGCTCAGGGTAAATGTTTCACAACTTTGGCCGACATTAAAATTTACACCAGGCACGGCCCAAACTGATCTTATCGTCCGACTGATTCAGTCTCGTCGTGGGTAGGTAAACAAGTAAATTTATGGACGTGGTGATAATTTGCTTCCTCCAGCGTTTTTGCAGACATTAATCGTTTTGGCCATATTTTCTTTTTTTTTTCATTCCATCCATCGACGTAGATTAGAAATGAAAAAAAGTTTGTGTATTTTTACGGGTACAAGGAAGGCTTGGTTAAAGCAAAAATACAACAGCCCAGTGTATAATCCCCCCAATCTCTTCCACACAACAATATGCAAGCTTGTTGTGAATTCCCCTTGTTACAAAGCGCTCTGCTTCTAGAAGGTGAGAAAATTTCCATCTCTAGTCATTCCTTATGCCGGTCTCACTTTCCTCCTCTAGCTTTCTACTCCATTTTGCCTGTAGTGCTTGTGATTTTGTGATGCCGATGGTAGGCAATGCCATCCGAGGGCTAGGGAGGATGAAGTTGTGGTTAAAGCAAATTCTCTCGGTGACGAGTTTTACGTTATGAGTTCCCATGAAGGTGTGTCCTTCCTCCGTCTGGTTAGTTAGTACTACAGGCTTCTTGCAGAAGGCTAATAGATGGACCTTAAACGGTGATAGCGACACTCAAAATTGGAAGGAGGATTTACCTCCATGGAACTTCATTCTTGACCAATGCCAGTTAAGCTCTTTGGCCTTTCCGCAGTCTGTGATGCCTTATTACGTCCTCAGCGATGACTTGAAGGCGCTATGAATAATGTAAGGGAACTTTCAGCACGTTAAGATGTTTACACCAAAGACTTATTGGCGATTTTTTAAAACAATTTAAACATTGTAAGAGAGAAATGTTAAAGAGAGCTTACTCCTTCTCCTGGAATCATGTTAGCCAAGAACGCCTACACCGTAATTCGTCTGAAATGCCAAATTGGGTGTCTAGACACAACTCTTAATCCTCTTCACGCAAATTCTAAGCAAAATAGCGGTTTAGCCGCATATTTGACTCCACAATCAGACCATCCACTCTTTCGTGGATGAGGGGCAAGTGACTGACACGATGGTGGTAGTTGAGTTGGTTTCGTAGAACGCTGTTACCAAACCGCTAATTAATTGCAGGGATGCATTGTTCCTGTGTGACCAACCAATCAGAGAAACACTGGGCGACCTGATCGATAGGTAAGAAGAGGTCGTTCAAATGTCATTGGTCACTGCATTGACTTTTTAACTGAGATGAAACACGTGTGAAAATATTGTGTATGTGACAGTGGTGCATTCCTCCTGTGGGATACACCACTCACCCACCTCGCTACCCTTACAAGCACATTTTCGCATTGTTTGCAGAACCACGTACAATGTGGCATGTGTGAATGAGGTGTCTTGATGGGGGAATTGAAGTGTCGGTGATAAATGGAATGGTAGACGAAATGGAGGAGGTAAGTGAGTGATCATATTTGAGACCTTTCACTTGTGCCATGTGCAATATGCCCGCCTCAGAGGTGTGTGGAGCAGGTGGGTGAGTCCTACCAATTGGTGGTGTCTGATCCTGTCAAGGAAGTGGTTGGAGGTGGACGGAATGAGAGGCGAAGTGTTAACTTTCGAAGTTAGGGGGGTAAGCGGTGCGTGGTGGGGCACTCAATAGGATTTTGTTAGCTCCGATCATCCGCATTATACGAGTTAACAATTGTGGATAAAGGTGCTATCACTCTCTTGATATTGTAACTACTCAGAGAAGCTATGACCTATCGCCTTATAATCTAGAAAATCCTCCTTAGTTCGTCATTAATGGCAAACCTAAGCGGTCCCCGTTGTAATTGCTGAGCCGGTTTTACATTAAACCATCACTTAAACTGAAGGATACGTAAAAGGAGTCTTGGATCACTGACCTCTTCTTTTTGATGGCTCTCAGGATCTGATTCCTCAGTTTGACACCTGGTTGCCACTCTTGCTATATTGAATTTAGAGACACACAGAGATAGTTACAAGCATTCCCTTTGCAACGAAGGTACCTGCAGGCGTGGAGGCGCCTGTACGAACGGAAACCAGACAGGTTGTGTCAACTTTTTGGACCACTGCTGAGTAGGCGGGAGCGGTGACTTGGCTCTAATTGCCTCTCTCTCCAAGGGGATGATGGAGGAAGTCCTCGTTTTTGAAAAAAAAACCAGACTTCCGCCTTGCTACTTTGCCATTTGCCCTTGAGTAGGAAAGCCAAATTAAGTAATTTTTGCAGTTAAAAATGAACTGGATCCATTACTGTTTATTAAGTCGTGGAGAGGACTTAGGAACCGATGAGGAATCTATTGTGGTCATTAAAGACTTCCACTTTCAAAGTTTATGGACTGATTTGAATCTTAGTGATGCACAGGGAATTAGTACCTTGGATAAATTTTAAAAAGCTCAGGTTAGATTGAAGACCCTTAGATGGGGAGAGCTTCAAATACCCAGACGGCTGGGGACCACGCTCTTGAGGAATAAGGCAACCACCTTGGATCCGAAGTGTTGAATCTGCCTACGGCCTCTTACATGACAACCGTCGATATGAAGGAAGGGAACAGATCCAACAAACATGGACTTATTTTTTTGCAAACAAGATAGCTATTTTTTTTATTAAACTCATTGTTTAAGTTTCTTGTTTGTTCCTCCCTCCCTTCGACCAGACAAATTGGTACAGTAATTGCGGAGGCTCATTGTTTTCACAGCCTGAGACGAGTCATAGGTACGAAGTGGACTATCATTTTCCACATACAAAACACGTCACTACATTAAATTTGCTTCTAGACACACTCTGGCCGTCCAAATACCACGATAAAAAATGCAAACACAACTAGACAGACAGGAAGGCAGGAAGGGAGGGAGGGAGAGAGGCGGGAGGCGTGGACGGGGAGGTGGAGTTGGCACATGCAACAGAAGTCCCATTTTTAGATCACCAGAATGAGTAGTTCCTCCTTTCCATACCGCTTTTTGTCACCTCGTTTCTGTCATCAGACCGGTTCGCATTTGCTAGTCCACGCCGCACTCTGGCCTCCAATTTGCCGCTCCGAGCTAACGAATGGCTTGCGCCAAAACACAGACTGGAAGTGTCAATCAAGAGGGGCGCTCAATTTAGAGTGGAGCATCAAATTTTCCAAACAAGCTGAGGTAATTTACAGGTGCCACCTAGCATCTCGCCTAGCAGACAATACACATGCCGTGATTGATCCAGTGAAGTCCAACCTAGTCCGACCTGCCCCTGAATCTGCCATTCAAGAGGGGAGGCAACAAAGATAGGGACATACACCGTGTGGTGATTAAGGTTTTTTAAACAAAGCCTTAGATCTTGAAGCTCACGGGTGTCTACTAATAAAGGGGACTTCAAGAACAGTAGGGTCCAACATTGAAACACTCATCGGGAGAGACGTTTGACGAAGTGGAGACCACGTCTGTGCGCCAATGACGATATTGGCTACTGGATCCCAATAGCGAAGAAAATGGGGATGGAAGAATTTCAGTTTTGGAAGGAAAATAGAAAATAGATTCCTTGATTTTTTTTAGTTTCTGTCTTCCCGCTTCCTCTGACTGCCGCCTCTTATGATAACAAGTTGGGACAGATTGTGATGATCAGCCATTGCTTACCTATTTCCAACTGGTCCTCATGTGACCCTACTTACCTCAAATTTCATCCCCTTCCATAGACTTGTAGAAGAACCTAACCATCTGTTGTGAAATCAGAACCGTCAAAGCATTAAAAGACCGAATGTCTGCCATGTATGGCGCAAATTCGAGAGCAATTTGCTCACATTTACAAGACACCTGTGAGGAGAATTTTGTGGTATCCCCACACGCTACGTGGAAATAATTGAGATGAGGCCTTAAAGGCCATCCTTGTGTTGTTCCTTACCTAGTTATGTAAGCCCATAAAAACGCGATGTCTGCATTTCAGATTACCGATGAAAAATTTCCTTCGCTTCATCATTTCAACTCATCCCTAACTCCTTAGTGGGCTAAAATTGTTTTCTGCGCATGACATTTTTACCATGAATGCACTGCCTAAGGTGAAAACAGTTACAACCTGCATTAAGGCTTCTTCTTCCTCTTTTTTCAGAAAGGGCTAGGACTAGTTCATCAATGTTAAAGAAGTTGTTCTTAAGGCATTAGTCAGTCTCGTTTTGACCTGTCAATGGTGACACGTAACTGCCACTTCTAATGGATATTCGGAAATGGAGGTCTTCCTAAATGCTCTGTATCTGTCTATCTTCGAGTGATTCATCAGCAGAGTTGTTAAGTGGTACAGAATGCCTTTAACCCACTCTGGGCACCACATCTACCGGTAACATACTTCATTCGAGGCCTGAAGAAAATTTGAATGCAATTGACTTTCGGAAAGGAGATAGACGGCTGAATCACATCCAACCAACATTTGATGATGTGAAGGGTGCAACAAGCTGGAGAGAGCACAACAAGAGATAGGAGTAGAATAGCGCACAGACAAGGCTTTGTAAGGCATTGAAACAATTAAATTTAACAATTAGGGGGTGCTTTCCTCAGAAATCCCATGAAACCACACCACGTTGTTTGGATTACCTGAGAAGAAGTAGCTGTACCCCATGTGAGGCAGCTACTTCCATGTGAAGGTTTTTAATCGTTTCAGGAGGGCTCTTTTATCCTCCTTTTTTTCTTTTGTAGGTTTATAATGTCATTACTTAGTTTATCCTACGTAGAAGAAATAAAAACGCCCTAAAGGAAGAAAACTTTTGTTGTGTGACGGAATTAGCACCTAAGAAAACGCCGAGCGCCCCCTCGGGTTTTGATTGGTTCCTTCAAGGTTGTTAATGAACCTCGCTAGACAGGTGGTTATGGCAAATGAGGTGACACCCCTGTGAGTGAAACTCAATTCCAACCACCTGCCTCCCAGTCTTTATGCGTCTCCGAAGTGGAACATTAGAGGGGGAAGGAGTGCTACACTGGGTGATGGGTAAATGGTGGGAATTTAAACAGAATAGCTAGGTATCGAATTTCATGCAAATTTTATCCTCTCGGATGCTTTACTCCAGATCAGAGATTCTTTTTACGGGGCGAATTTAGCTACACTGACTCTAAAAAATCTCCACCGTTTCGAGTTCCTCATTGAAACCATTGGCAATTCCCACGTGATCTCATGGCCTGTAGGACTCCGCGATACGCCATTCCTTTAGACTGGCAATGGCTCATTTACGTCCGGAGAGATGACACACAGCGTTGCATTGGTGTCAGATGTGGACAAGCCCGATTCAAATGATCAGTAGTCTCTATTTCCATGGGCTGGATATTAAGCCTAAATGTCACACGAGGTAAGGTGCGAGGGGGCAATGTCCAATTTCAAGATTAACTTCATTCTTGTGTTCCCCAAGAAGGTAATTACAACTTGAAAGATTTGTGGGTTTTAGTTACGAGGTCTGCGCAATCGACGAGAAAGCTGGAATCGCATGTCTTGAGGTTATGGTCCCCATTTCTGACTGGTGGAAGATTTTTGAACCATGAATCACTTCCCAACACCCGTCACAGGCTCGCAGTGGTGACACACTATGTGGAGGTTGCAATCACCGGCCTGATGGATAAACATTGATTTCATGTCGACAGCTTATCAGTTTAAGTGAGCCTAGTGGCTTCAAAAAAAGTGCCTTTTGGAAGGGACCGTATTTTCAGTAACTGGGTGGATGGAATATTTCAGTATTTCGTGAGAAACGTGAAAGTGATTAACCAAAGTGGTGAACAGGTGTGGTTACAAGATTCTAAAGTGGGAATAAATTCTGGAAATGGAATTAAAAGAAGGCCAGGAATTCAGGAAGTTACATCGTATCATATGCCTTGATGCATGGCTTCGCGCAACGCTGTTTGCGAAAAGGAAGTGACAGTTGAATGACATAAACAATTAGTGAGGTGTACCGCTGTTTTTATATTTGGCAGATTTTTTTCCCTAAAATATTGACTAACACAGGATAACTCCGAAAAGGGTGTTCGGAATTATAAGCCAATCAAATAAGTTAGAAGGCTTATCTGGGGGACCCATTTACTGCAAGGCCTTCATCGTGATTCTCCACCCACACTTGAGGTGCAGGTATGAGAAAATTGTTTCATCACACATCACTTGCGTCAAACATCGCAGAGATTTGGTCCTGACGTGCTAATACGTGTTGTCGTGTTAACGATGACATTTAACGGGGTCCTTAAATGGAGATGAGACGTAGAGTGATTCATCACCGGACCCGTCAAGTTACACAATATGACTTGAACCATTTCTGGGCACCATATTCTGACACCACATCCACCCACCTCCTCTAAGTGCTAGACAACACATTTGACGCGAGACATTAGGAACAGAAGAATGCAATTGACCTTCATAAAGCGGACAGAAGACTACAACCACGTCCAACTACTATTTGATGACGTGAGGGGGGTAGTTAGGTGGCAGATATCAGAGAGTACGGTAAGGTGTGGCGTAGACGTGGACTAACGCACAGTCAAGGCTTTGGAATGAATTGAAACGACGGCATTTGCTAGGTAGGAGGTGCCCCTCTCACACGTGACAGGA